CGTACTGTAGTGAATTCGTGTCAAGTAGAAGGTATTCTAGAACGTCCCACATCGCATAACACGCCCTGCAACTCGTCCGCCGACTATGGCTTCTTGCCGCGCGACGGGCCTCCTGTAGGGTACCCAAAGTTCCTTATTTCAGCTGATCTCCTAATTGGCGCTAAGTGTCAGCTTCAACTGCCGGAAGAATTAGCTTTACCCCTTCCTAAAACACCTTGAACTTACAGAGTAACCATCCGCCGAAAAATTTCATTTTACTCTTTTGTTACCGCGGGTATTTCGGTCCTCACTGATTGACCTGCGCCTGCGATGTGGTACATATCTATCCAAGGATTGAATTGCCATCTTTCTGTGAGACTTATTGAATGGTTACTACGCCTATAGGGCGTTCCCTAATTTGCTCAGAATCAGTGGATTTTCAAGTAGCCTACAGATATTCGGAGCGAGTCAAATAAAATTTCAGCAAGGCGCTATTCGCAGTTTCGGTGGACACTTACAGTAGCGGTCAAAAGTGTTCGCCGAAACGGTTTTTGTGCCCCGCTTTTTTTGCCAAAAAATCAATGGTGATCTCAAAATTTTTTCTTCTGAGTATCCTGATTCTTTGAAATTGAGGATATAAACACTATGAAACATAGTATATCAATTTTTGGAGGGCGTTGCTTCGTTTTGGTGAACATTTTTGACCGGTACTGTATATGCATGCATATACGGCAAGTCAATGACTTGTCTAATCTGATCTATATTTTTGGGATGCGCCACGCCGATCGGGACGGCTTTTGAATTTGTATTCGTTTCAACCAATTATTTGTGGCGGCCATTTAGTGTTCAACCAATGATTTTTACCCTCTCGGACCATGGAGTACCATTGTTCTTACCCTCTCGGACGAGTGGGTACCAATCTACCTTGGTTGGGTAGAGATCCTGATGTGCCTGAGCTCGGCGTCTGAATTGATCTACCTCAGTGCTTCCTCCACCATTCGCTTGTTGAACCATGATGACCCGACAAACCAAGCGCTTCTTAACGCCCCCCCCCCCCCCTTGCAGAAACATACCTCTAACGTAAACTACGTATTTCTACAACCTGATGCGTCATTAGATTCACGTAGAGTTGCTGTGTGACGGTCGCATAGATTTGTGGCGTGAAATCGGCGGCAGCGGCGACGCTGCGGTAGGTCTTTTCTCTAAATGGTGATCAGAAATTTACGACTGCGGTCTCGCAAAGGCACAATCACATCTTGTCCCCATGGCTACCGTATCGTCCGTAAAGAATTATAGCCCTGATCGTCTCATGATTGACTCACTACTGTTTTTCTGTTGAAAAGTGCAAACCTATAAATATCCGATTACCAGAAACGGCTACACGATTCCATTAAGCGCTATTATTACCTTGAGAAGAAGAACATTCAGAGCTCTGTTCTGTAGTGAAAAAGCCAGATCACTTGACCTTCAATAGCGATCGTCACGGAGCAGATCTGAGGCCTTCTAAAAATCCATAACTTAGGATGATTAATCGGTTCACGGAGCTCGTTATCAGGACTAACTAGGAAAGGCTTTCCAATTCCCATGGAACTTTGAATTTTTAGGCGAATCGATAGAGCCTGGAGTACTGGTTACAAATCTGAAGCTCAAAACTGCTACGTAAAACCTGCTAGGGAAGTTGTTGAGTTGAGACAAATTAATCGGCGAGGCTCGATTCCTCGCAATGACAAAATTTTTGCATTTTATGTGGGCCTTCCCAATTGATGCTAGATGGGATCAGTGTCAAGACTAGATGTCATATTAGTAATCGAGCAATCGGGGATCGTCCGCAAGCCTCTTCTTCAAAATACTGTTACACCAGGGTAGCAATTCGCCATCCATAACCTCTTTGCAGGTCCACTGTAGCACAGATTTCATTCCCAAATTTGTAACCACCCGCAGATTATGATTTACAGGCCTCAGCTAGAAAGTTCATGGGAAGTTGGAAGCCTTCCTGGGAGTGCCAGACGTCTGGGAAATGACTAGTTTTTTTTTTTAAGGATTGAACTCGACACTATGACATCACTGACTAAAATTTTTCGCTGTTAATGTGTTAGACCGTTGGAAAGGATGATAAATTCAATTCGGCTGCGCAGGCGTTCTTCTCTTAAGTCAACAAGTACAGGAGCGGTGAATGACAGGTGGACTACTGCAGCGAAACAGACGAGACGTTTTTAGGTTCCATTCTCTGAAAATGGCGGCTGTTCGCAAGTTGAAATCGATTGATGGTGTGATAAGAAAAAATGATAAATAAAAAAACATGAAAAAATATGTCAGCTCGGAAGGCCATGACAAAAGTACGTTGAACTGAGTACCGCAATTGGGAATCTTGCTAATTCCAGGGAGGCGGTTTACGCCATGTATTCTCATGGTTTGCGCGTATTTTTCGTGATTCATGTGACTGGCTGAATCAATGTTCTCTTTTCGAGCACCAAAAGCTAATGAAGAACACGCGCACAGACATGTCGCCTTGGACAACAGGAGTGAGTTTTTTGACAAAACTAACTTCATAGACGGTTATTGCTCCATAATCAAAGTGATTTATGGGTTAGCGCTCTTAATATAGGGCGGAAGTGGTGTAGTGGCAAGTGGCACGCTTACCACGCGAGCGGTCCGGGGATCAAATCCTGGGTCGTGAGTCGCCCGGGCCAACCAAGCCTTCCATCCCTCCGGGGTCGGTTAATTGGTACCAGACTTGTCTGGGAGGATAAAAACACTGACTTGTACATCGGCTGGCCCCCGCAATTGTATAGGCCACATCGCGCAAACGAAACACCAATGGAATGTAGAATTGCGGTGTCGCATCAAGGCGGGATGGGATTCAACGGCAAAGCTTTATCCTTCTTTCGTTATGCGACATATCACCGTGAGAGCTGGCTTTCCACGATGGGCCTAATTACATGCTTAGGCAAATTTTTCACGACCAACACCTGACAAATGGTACTGTGGGACATCTAGTCGAATGCTATCCTTCCCTCCCTCCATCTCAGGGACAAACAATTGGACCTCTACCTTTCTACCCAATTCTGACAGCTCAGACAGCAGGACACTCCAGGGGACCATTTGTAGCAGTACCTGGTTCTGGATGAGTCTCCAAAACTTTATCTCTGGACGTATGTCTCTATTCTCATCCGTAGAAAATGCATCATAGGCTTAAGTAGCGACGCAAAGTTTCTGGGACCCATCTCCATCCGGGTACTGCTGCATACGCCCCAGAGAGCTGCAAAAAAAGTCGTCCGAGATATGGAGTTGCGGTGCTCAACCCTGAAGCGGGCAAAGAGAAAAATAGCACTGCGAATGGAGTCCCGCCGATGTAGCGTTCGAGGCCCAACAGTGTATAGCCGGGCGCGCCAAAGGTCGATAACATGATGTGTACAGTGAACCACCATTCCGGGCCTTGTCGTGATGCAGTCCATCATACGCATGACGATTATTCTCGAAACCGATTTTTGAGGCTCTTGACAAGTGCGCCCCACGATGAAATTAATCGTGGGTGCAATTACGGCAGGCGAACACGGGAAACAGGTTGTCTTCATAAGTTGCTGAAAGAATCGATATGACACTCTTCGACATCTCCAGAAATCACTTCTTTATATCATTTTCTAGTAAAAGCACATAACAATTGTGAAAAAACCCGTGTAGAAGACTCATAGCAAACAAATCAATACCGTATAAAATCTGAATGAAAAATTCGGAAAACATCGAGAAAGGCACATATGAGTGAGGTGAGAGTTATTAGAGAAAAAAATCTTCGGGAACGACAATCAAAGAATGTGTCACTAACACGAGGCGAATATTGATTGGTGCTCGATTTTGATAGACACGAATAGAAAACTTGTTATTCTATAGAATGCTCTCATGCGGAACTGATCTCAATGGGCGGACGTCTACTGCAATGGTTCAGCGACATGCACCGAATTCACAGCGGACGTGAGAAGGAACTACCAGGTTCGTGACGATCTATCGATTCAATCAATGCGATCAATACTTGGCTGGCGATCCCATTTGACAGCTTCCGGGAAAAAACAATGGAAAGCAATCACACAATAGGTTCTGAAAGTGATCACGAAATCCAACCGATCTCTACAAAATTTCATAAATAGCAGTAGCAAGAAGGCTGTTTGGCTTGAATATTTTGACAGGGGACCATAAAAATTTCATAGAAAAACTGTATGCAAAGGAAGGCTAGGGTTGGATTGCGCATTTGGACAGAGTACTGCTTCGAAAGATAGGGTAGAGTAAAAGGTAAATGCTCCTGGGTTAAGGCCTTATTATTGGCTGAACTTATTTAATAAAGTAACCATAATTGAAAGGATTCTTTTCTACTCCTTCATGAATCCATCAAATTTAGAAAGGAGACGATCTTTTAAGAACGGCAGAATAAAAGCTCTTCGTTGGCAGAGGAAAGTCGAAAGTGATAGCCGAATCAATTGGAAAAATTATTTTTGGTACTCAGAAACAAGCGGTAAACTAGGGAAAACCGAGGAAATATTTTGCTGCTTAGAATCCCTTGGATGCGCCATGAACTCCTCGGACTGATCTCTAACAGCGATTGAAAGAGTTTAGGAATTTATAGCATCCGAATACGACAAAAAATGTACTGAGCATTTTTTCCAGAAGGAAACATGGATGGAGCCATTTGAGGCAAGAGCATCATAATTATCAACTAAACGAGATTTCATTGGTCCCGAAGTGATTCTAAGGCCCCACGTAGTTTTTCAATGGGAGCATTACAGGAAAATAAAACGCCGAGAGACGTTAGGAGACGATCAGTACCTCTTTGTGACCTTATGACTATCGAAACAGATGAAGGATAAAGTGCTATGTGTTGATCAGTTTTTTTTTTGAGATGCGCCACGCATTCACATCCGTAGCGGCATTTGTATGGGTTTTCACTCTTGTACAATGGGTTTGGGGCAGCAGCGGATTCACAAGATGGTGATTCCACAGGCAACTCTGGACGGATTTCGGTCTCTCGATTCCACACGTGTTTACGCTGTCTATGACATCCTGGTTAAGTCTGCTCTGCACCTAGTAGAGTTAAAAGCCTTTCAATTGAGGATTTGCTCACACAAGAAAACTGGAGGATCTCACAAGGGTTAAATCCCTGATTGCTGAAAACTGCCGTGATGCGAGGCCAGGGACCCATGCCATGGTTTGTGCGCGGATGTTTATCTCCTTCGAGGTCCTGTGAATGTGGTAGGATTCCTCACGTCTGCCACTTCTGTCTGCCACTTCTACACCCCCAGCTATTACCCGCGCTAATGGAAGCACACTAAAAGAGGTTGAAAACGCTTGTCAAGGTCATCACTTCCACTCACGCTTCATACGATGCCCTGTGTATTCGACACGTTGACGATGATCAACAAAGAACTTTTCCTCGGCATTTCTTGTCTGCGAAACGCGGACAATGTTGCCACTCATGCCCAGCACTCGAAATAACGCGCCAGCCGGCCTTTCCTCGAGGACGATGGACGGGCAGTGTAAAGCCTGAGAAACCTTGGACCGAGTCCAAGTAAGCAAATAGTATTTTTATCGGTTCGTTCAGGGTAGTAGGGTTATAATGCATCAGCCGGGGTTCATCAATAGTGCGAAAGCAGACCAAAATCACCAATCGAGGATGCTCCCAGTAGGGAAGGACGTTCAGATTCCTGAATGGGTAAGTTGAATCGCTCCTTCTTTATCGTCGTTTCATCTAACGATTTGAGCGAAAAGCGAAATTCCCGGTCCACGGCTAATTATCCAATT